CTGGCTCCATCCCCGCCTCTTCGACCTGTTTGTTTCCTCTCCACCTATCCTCTCCTCTATCCCTCTTCTATCCGCCTCCCACTCTCTCCCTATTTATTTCAAAACCCCCTTCCCCTCCCCCTTTTCTGATGAAGGGTCTAGGCCCGAAACGTCAGCCTCTCTGCTCCTATGATGCTGCTTGGCCTGCTGTGTTCATCCAGCCCTGCACCTTGTTGTCTCGGATTCTCCAGCATCTGCAGTTCCTACTAGCATTGACACCAATCCTGGCAATGTTCAAACTCCACTCCTGGTAATCTTGATGTCCATTTTTGCAATGTTACTACCAGCCACCACCACTGTTAACCATCACACCACCGCCTCCTGAAATCCTCTTGCAAGTGGGGAAGGTAGTGTGGCAGTGGCAATAGCCCAGGGATATAGATTCAAATTCCACCATAACTGGTAGTGAAATTTGAATTTAATAAAAATCTTGAATACAAGGGATGTAATTCATGTAACCACTGTTGATTTTCATCAGGATAGTGTGAACTAAGGGGATCTTAGCGGTAACAATGTTCCTATGAAACTCTTTCCCTTATCCTCTATATGATACAGGTTATGGGCTTTAGATGACTACTGAAGGAGTGTGGCACAGTTGCTGTAATTTATTCATTTGCTCCCCTCTTGCCATGTTCCAATGTTACAAGGTTACTATTTAATGGTAAACTGCTTCTTTCCATTCTTGTTAACAAGCAACTGGCAGGTTAAAAGACTGTCAATTCCAACTTTGTTGGAGAGAAACCGTTGTCCCAGAATGCCTATGGTAACAAACACAGAAATAAGTACAACATTTAGGCAACAAATGACACTCTTCTAAAAAGGCGTCTTACGATAGCATTCTTATAATGGTTACAAGTCAGGTACAGACTTGTTAATTTGTCTAATTTCAGTAGCTGTATTTATAAATATAATGTGTTTCTGTCTATATTCCAGAATTTTCCAATTTAAATACTATCATAGACTTCAAACTGGAGCACAACTTAAAACAGTTCTGAAACCCAGATAGTGATTTATGATGGCCAACATGTTGGAAAATTTTAAGGCCCAGAAAACACGAAGGATTTACTTTGCTTATTATTTAACATAAAATCAGCAATGCCAGTGAGAATACAATTGTCATTTTACAACAAAGTGAAAATTTTAAAAATCCCAACAAACCCCTACACTTCTTTCTTAACGAGTCCATGATGGATTTATAAGGGTCAGCAGATAAATTGAAACACCCCCACCTGCAAGTTCTCTTCTAAGCCACGCATCATCCTGACTTGGCAATGTATCACAGTTACTTCTGTGTGACTGGGAGAAAAGTTTGGAACTCCCTGATGGCATTGTTGGTCTATTTATACCAAATGGACTGCAGTGGTTTAGGACAGGTAGGGCTGGATAATAAATGCTGGTTCTCCCAGTGATACTCAAAATATATAAAATACAAAAGAAAGTAAGAGCGCACTCAGTTTGGATTCAGCCAGGGCCACTCAACACTTGGCCTCGTTACAGTCTTGCTCAAAACATGAACAAATGAACTGAACTGAAGTGAAGAAAATGACTGACCTTGAAAGTAAAGCAGCATTTGCCTGAATGCAGCATCGAGGAAACCCAGCAAAATTGAAGCTAATGGAAATCAGGGAGAAATCATATCAAGCACAAAGGAAGATGATTGCAATTGTCCATGATCTCATTCTCAGTACATCAATTACTGGAGGAGTTCCTTGGGCCTGTATCCCAGACCCCATCATTAATGACCTTCCCTCCACCATACGGCCATAAATGGGATTATTCACTGAAGACTGCATTACCGTCAGCAGAATCTGTGACTCCTCAGATAGTTAAGACTACATGCAGTAAGACATCTAGGAACACCACCCAGGCTTAAATAAAAACAAAATACTACAGATGTTTGAAATCTGAAATAATAACAGAAAGCACCGGAGAAACTCAGCAGGTCCAGCACCTGCAGATGTGTGGATAGTGCAAGAGAGTTAATGCCTTGAGGCCAGTATAACTCTTCTTCAGAACTGCAATTCCAAATGATCCAAATCTGATTAGGACAAGGAGATTTACCCACCTTCATACATTCTAATACTTCCAACACCACCTCTACTGTGATATGGACTGTCCCCAGGATATTGTCACTAAGTTCTCAAGTCTTCATGTCTTTTTCCACAGTAAACATAGAGGAGAAATATTCATTGAGAACCTCACCCATCTCCTGCGGTTCCATGCATACATGTCCACTTTGGTCCTTGAGCAGTCCTATTCTCTCTCTAGTTATTCTTTTTCCTTTAATATACTTAAAGAATCATTGCTATCACTGGATCCTCTATTATCAACATAATGGAGACTATCATTAATCAGGTACTGAACTGGACCAACCAAAAAAAAAAGTGGCTACAAAATCAGGCCAGAGGCAGGGATTCAGTCTCACAAGGCATTCCTAGGAAAACAGAAACAACTCTTTAGTACCATTCAGTTAAATCATGACTGATCTGTATAATAACTCCATACATTCACATAGGTTCTGTAGCTCATCGTATACTTGGTTAACAAAAATCCATTAGTGTCAGCAGTGGCACTGGCAGAACCTGAATAGATTTTTGGGGGAAAGCATGTTCTGTATTCATGACCCTTTGTTCTCTTCTTTCTATTTACCATATTGAATCTTTTAGTCATGTTTAACTCAACTAAACCATCACATGATTCTCTATACAATCTCTAATATAAGTCTTGTGTACGCACTTTATATTCATAATCATTTTAACTCTTTTACTCCCAGATTCCAGAGAATCTGTGCTGTACTGCCTCTAAAGCTACTTATCTATTGTAAGGTATCCAGAAATGAACGTAGTAGTCTGAATGTGAACTAACCAGAGCTTTATATATCTGCAACTTAACTTACGTGACTTTGTAGGACAGACCCCTTGAGACAAAGACTAACATTCTACTAGCATTTTTAACTATGCTTTGTACCTATCCACAATCAAAGTCAAACAGAAATTCTTTAGTGCTGCACCCTGCCTTTGAGATAGGCCATTGGCTACCTGTAATTCCTTTGATTTGGCCGGAGCCACTCTTACAGACACCTGTTAGAAACTGTCAGGTTAGAAACCCAAGACATTTTTTCTACTTATAAAATGTCCAAATAAACTATCACCAGTAAATTTACAGTTAATTTTAAGCACTGCTGGCTATTATGAAATTCTTTAATTAGGCTGATATTTCTGAAGGAACAAAGATTACTAGCGAGGAAAATAAAAGCAGTGAGGGATGAAACAAGTACAGAGAATGACCAGTTAAATAGGTCTCAAACTGCACAAAACCATTCTGAACAAACCAGGTAAGCTAAATCAAATGAATGAAGTCTTATGATATGATTTATGATATGCATGAAATTCAAATCTGAATTTAAACCTCCGAACTGGGAACAAAGACCTCTCACTAACCTGAGGAACAGTGAAGTAAGTATTTAAAATCTCCAGAGTGGCATGTCCCATACACAATAAACTATATACAGCATCTGAAACTAACATCAACAAATCACAATTTTTTGAAGTCTCAGTAGTTGATAGTCTGCAATGACGAATTCTCAGACTGAAGTAGTAAAGCATTTAGCAAGAAGAAATGAATTAAAAGTAGAGCCAAAGTCAACACCTGTTCCTAATGTACCTTGTGGTGGATGGCTACATAATGGCAGAAGGGAGAGACCAATATGTTTGCTTACCCTTATAGGCCAAACACATGTGTGAATTTACTTTTGTTCACCAAAGACCTAAGCTTTTCTGAATAGAAAGGTACAATGCAACATGTTTTATATATCATTTTACATCGTTTCTATGAGTATACAATTTAAAATCTTTATTTTACACACAATGATATAAATATAATTTCAACTGAATGTAATACTCTAGCTACTTATTATTGTCACAGAAACCCTGCATCATTTTGTGAAGCAGTTTTATGTGCCATAGCAAGACTATAATTATCCAGATCTTCCTTCTTATGGTACTTCATTACATCTTTTAGCTCCTAGTACTGTTCCGTATTCCTGTAACAGATCACCTCAAAAGCTCAATTGATGCATTATGAAAAAGAAATTATTTGAGCATGGGAACACAAATCAATGGCACTCGTGCAAATTATTTTCTTTCAGAACTCACAATATGTTCCATGCCAGATTATGTCTGGACAACGAAATATTCAACCAATTTTTTTTTTTAGAAAATATTGCAAATGAGTTGCACTTACAATCAATTCATGCAAAATTTGTGATAATTAGTAAAAAGAAAGTTTTTATGTACTTACCACATACAGCTGTTTCCAGAGCATTATCCATTCTTGTAATGTGGCTGTGACCTCAGTAACAATGGGATCTTCCACTGGAACTACAGTCTCAAACTGGCTATAAAATAAAACACAGGTATTACTTAAACAATCTCACATCTCTACAACACAAAATACAATAAACATTTGCCTTAAATAGTTTGTAATTGCTTTTCTAATGAATGTGGAGCAAAATTTGAAAGAGAAGTATAGACAAATGGAAATTTCCTCCAATTTAGCTCCCCTAAACTCCCATACTGGCCGCTTGCATCATCAACGACACACTTCCAATTTTTAATTTTTCTATTCCTCGATCAAGTTGTGAATGGAAGCATAAAATTATAAAACATTATAATTTCTAAGAGATATTTATAAGATTAATTGATCTGTCAGAACTAGGACAAATGGATTTGAGTGTATGAAAATATGAGGCCAACGACTTTGGACATTAAAAAAGCACAATACTTTTTAAATGGTATAAATCTACATGAGAAGAGTAAGAGATTATTTTAAAGTAGTGGGTCAGAGGAGGTACAAAGAGAGATGGAATTTTGTCTTCAAGATGGATATTGGGAGTTCAAAAGTTTACTGACACCTCAATCCATCTCCTACATGAAGGTATAAAAGCAAAAAACTTTGGATAATGGAAACCTGAAATTAAAACAGGAAATTCTGGAGAAATCAGCAGGTTTGGCAGCATCTGTAGAGAGAAACAGAGTCATTATTACAAGTCTAATGTTGAATCTTCTTCAAACTCAAAATATTAACTGTTTCTCTCTCCACAGATGCTGCCAAGCCTGCTGATTTCTCCAGTATTTTTTGCTTTTATTTCCTTTGTGGAGGTGCATGACTACCTTGTTTCCATGCTGGGAAGGCAGATTTCTGATGGAGGTAGGCCCACCTACTTTGAAATCTCAGTAAGGTCGGAAGTGGGCCCAGATGCAGAGGAAGGAAAATTACATTGCAGTGCGTGTCTCTGATGCCACCGCTAGGAGAAACATTGATGAGAAGACAGTTAACACACTACTTTAAAATAATACATTTCTCTTCTCTTGTGGAGTAGTGGACTTTTCTCTGTCTGTATGTGATAGTCAACAGGTTATTAACTTGTAAAACTGATCCAGGATGAGCCCACCCTAATATCCAAATGCCCTGCTGGGTGCTTTCATTGCTCACGTGACTGCCACCACAGAATTGACTCATTTTACCCTTGCACCTGCTGTCATATCAAGTGTCTGCATCCCAAAGCAACTGTGATCAGAAGCAGTTTAGGATATGCTGTCTGCAAATAAACTTCAATTGCAAGCCTCAAATTCTAGCAGCTTGCTGAAGATGTAAACAAAACGTGTCAAGTTGTAGCAGACCAAGCTAGTTGGCATCTCACATCATTATCATGAGCCTGTAGAGCTAACGGTCCAATGGACATGAAATAAGCAAAAGGAAGACCATTTATGCTGTAAAATGTGCAAAACCACTATCAGCTCATGCCACATTGATATTTCCATGTAGGAACACAATGTGTTCCTTACCTCTTCTTGACCATGCAGGAAAAGACAAATCATAATACAAGGGTGATGGACCATACTAGTAGTGGGACACCACTGCTGAGGCCATTACAAATTGTAGAAAAAGTTGGAGATAGCACGTGTCCTGTCACCGAGTAGAGACAGAGAGTCTCCCATGCCAGGTGCAACTGACCTTGGATCAGTCACACAAGAGCTGCTTTCGTTAGAGGGGGCAATGATCTCACAAGGGGAGGATGAGGGACAAGCCACTGACAAAGAGGTAAAGGGAAGGAAATGAAATGAATTCAAGTCAAGTGGAAAGGCTGTGTAACTAAGACTGCAGGTATTATAGCCTTGAGGCAAGCATCAGATCCCTGAATGCAGAACACTCACCAAGTCTTACACAGCTCTATCCAGTACGCAACCATTCCTTGGAGATCAGGTGGAAGAAAAGGTATCCAACCGTTCATTGTTACATCAGACAAGCACCCGACAACCTGAAGTGCAGATATTTGCACATCAAAAGGTTGTTGTGCATAATTAGAATTGGGCTCATTGGATGAAATATGCAGCAAAACAGTGCATGAGGTGGCGTTGGAATCAGATACATTTGTGGACGGTTAACGTGTTAGAGGAAGAAGGACAGCAGTCACAGTGATGCTGCAGCACATATTAAGGAAGAAGTCACTGTCCGAGTTTCAGTATCTGGAACAGCTACAGCAGATATGTGGGCATCTGGAGGAATTCCCAGAGGCATTGCAAGCTCATGCTTTGTAAGTAGAGGAGTCCAATGCACAAATGATTTCATTCATGTCTCAGGATGTTTGAGTACATAGCCTTTTTCCAGGAAAGAATGACCAACCTTCTGAAGAGTGACATGCAACAGCAAATAACGCATGCAGTATCAGCATAAGATTATGCCTAAGTATCAGGCACATTAACTACTCTGAACCAGTCTGTTCACAACATGAGTGTTATTCTCCATGGACGATATGCAGAGCTACTTCTGCAAAGCAGGACACTTGTACTGGTGACCTAATGCTGACTGGAGGGACTGGCAACTGAGCTGACTTTCTCCACGCTGCCTGAAAATGTATCCAGGGCTGAGGAGAAAGAGGAGGATACTGGGCAGCTTCCAACACGCTCATATTGCATGGCCTTCCCAAACTATCTGAGCTGGCATCTGTGACAGGGCTCCCAGTGCATTTTTCTGAAGAAGGGTCCCGACCCAAAATGTCAACTTTCCTGCTCCTCTGATGCTGCTTGGCCTGCTGTACTTCTCCAGCTTCACACTGTGTTATCTCTTATATTTGTAAAAATTGGGGCTTTTTTTTGAAATGAGACAGTGTTAGTAATAGAACACTGAAGTTATATTGTATTGATCATGCCATAGTTATTTGGTCACCTTTGGAACCTTTGAACAGATATTAATGCAATATGTATCTGGCTCTTTGATTGAACTTCAAGTAACATTCAGTTGAAATTTATTACAAGTTTCTTTGAATATGAAGAATACCCAAAAGCTTTTGGTACAACCGCTGCAAAGGCACTTTGCATTTAATATTGCTTGGAGGACTTAAATTTTTAAGCATTGTGGTAAATGGATTCATTTCAAGTTCGTAGAAGTACCTGCAGTGGTTTCTTTAAAGGAGATCCACTTAAAGTTCACTGTGGACATCGGAAATTTATATTAACAAGGCTTCTTATAAATCACATAATTGGCAATAACTGATTGCTTCGCTGTAGACCTCTGCTGGGGCTGTTTTTTGAACTGTGACTGGCTTGGTGAAGTTTCTTTTATCTGATTTAGTTAGAGCAGAGACTGTGAAGAACTAACTGAGCTGGAGGAAAGCTTGCAAAGAACAAGCTGCCCAGTTGATCAGTTGAAAAGAAAGCCCTCTTGTTAAGTTGTGGGCGAGACCCTATTTGCTTTTCAAAAGAGTGATAGAAGAAACATCGTAAGACTGTATTTTCTCAGCAATCTGTGTTGCTAAGACTTCAACCATGCATGATTATAGTGACTTGACCACCTGGACTAGAACATCAGAGCAACAGACTCTAGAACATCCTACATTTATGCTTTTGCTTTCAAAAACAACCCATTGATCAAAATGCTCTTTAACCCCAGAAAACCATTCCCTGCAAAGAAACCAGTTTCTTTCTTTCTCTTCTTAAAGAGAAAAAAGTGTGTGTTTGTAGGTGTTAGTACGTTTTGGGGATATTTAGAGAGATAAGCATTTATATTTCTATATTATTGACTGGCTAAGTTAGCTATTTATTTCATCTTCATTCATTAGGTTTTGTTTTGATGAGAATCTCTTTATTGTACTCGTCAAGAAACCTTGTTAAAAGATAATGTTGTTTGAAAGTTAGGTACACAAGGTATTTAGTTAGCCATCCTGAAACTAGAATAAGTATTTTTATTTTATGTTGTGATACATGGAATAGCAATGGTGCACTCCTTCAGTCTTTGCTGCAACACCGGATAGCAATAACAATTACTACATATTTTGTAAGGGCTTTAAAATCAATCTGAAGAATCTACCAATTTCAGACTATCATATGCACAATGACAATGTTATGCATTGAAGGAGGCCAGCCACTGCAGAACCATTAGTTCCCAAGCCATCAGCTACCCCCTGCCCTCCATTAAAACACTTTTTAATTAAGAGTACTCCATTTTGGAGTACCCATTCCCTTACTCACCTTCCATTATTGCCTTTTATTGCTTCCAAGTTGGAAGGCATCCGGCTGATATTCCAGCTTCAAGACTGAGACTATCACCCTTAATTGGGCGGCGAGTCTATTTTCTGACCATTAAATGGCCGCCCTGGGGAAAATCATACTGAATGAACGTTTCCATTACAGTGGAACGTGGCAGGAAGGGAGTTTCTGGATCCCACAAATAGGGAGAAACATGGATTGTGAGGTGATTAAATAAGGCAGGAGCCAGAAGTTTAATTTTTCAATGGAAGGTAAAATTCTAAGATTAAGTCAGTAGCATGTTGTACTTTTAGCACTTAAGTATGCATTGAACACTTATTAGCATAGTATGTTTTTTAATTGAACGTAATCCACCTTCAAGATAAAGGCAGTAACGCACAAGAATCTCATAACACCTTAAGCAGGTTGATTTAAAGGTGATGGGCACAAAGAAGGGACACAGGAGAAAGGTAGCTTGTACAGAATCTTGAGACCAATAAGACTGCACCAGGGCTAATGGAGTGAGAGGTTGATTAGAGTGGTGTATTGGGCATAGAGAAGAGGGAAAAGTGTAGCACACTGGGTGCATTGCAAGAGTTTTGGCTGCAGACAAATGAAGGGTTGAAAATCTCACTGGTCAGCTATGAGTGAAATCCATGATCGTGTGTTCTCATCGCTTTGCCTACCTTCTTCACACAGTTCAATTTCTGGAGGACTGATGCATCTCATACATCCAATATACCTGCAGTCTGGAGATAAGGAGGACAAAATAAAACAAAGGAGGAGCTTTACCATCAGAAACAGGCAGTAATGTCAACAGCAAGCAGCCGAGAGAGAGTGTGGTCAAGATGCAGCCATTCAGAGAAGCCAT